CTGCAAACACACAGTCACACAGAGTTACACCAGCAGCAGACTCGAAATGCCTGCCGCCACCATTGCAATGCTGGCGACAGTCACCAATGCAATGGTGACAGCACCGCCTGAAAAATACACACAGTCACAGTCACACAAACACATCATCATATTATTCGCTTCATGAAGGCCACATGGCATGTAGTGGTATGGTGCACCCTTGTGCACTGCACACCTTTCTTATGGCGCTTCTTGCAGAGCACGCTTTTTTGTGGCAATCCCTACAGTGTACGTACAAGTCAGATTGACTGCAGATGCGGCGGTCTTCAACGGCAATACTTTGATCAAACTGCATTCGTGCGAATTCCTTCCCTTTTTCAATGTTATGCTACCATTGACATGCATGAGATCAGAATCAGATGAGCATTGAGCAGCGATATAACATAACTGTATAAGATAATTTTGTACGCTATAACGATTCACTTTAATCGTAAGGTGTCATAGCCCAGCTCGAACTGCCTCAAGGCTCGCTATATTTGCTCCCTAAGGCGAGACGTCATGTTATCATGGGCAGTAGTCACATCAATGGCTGGCGAAATCACATACCGAGGCGAAATCACATACCGTGACCGCCTCAGTATGCGGACAATGGACAGTTGCAACTGTCCATTGTCCAACTTATGGGAACACGCTAACCGTTCAGCATTTAACCCGCGCGGGGCTGGGGTCTCCAGCCGAACGCGCGGGGCTGGGGGGGGGGGGGGGTAAATTTTACCCCCCCCCCCCTGTTATCTCCCGAACTAATGGTCCGATTTGGAAAATTCGAACGCCAATCGAAAGATCTCATCACGAACAACTAAAAACATGTACTTAATTTAAAGTTTGAGGTCAAGGTCAAGGTCAGGTCAAGGGTAAAAATTGCAAGTTTCTACAGTATCGGCCTTGCACCGTAGTTGCCGAAGAATGGAGTCATGGACTGAGACTGATTGCCCAAAACGTGTTCTTAGGCTACCAAGACAATATTCGTTGCCTGCAATATCATTCAGAGGTCAAGGTCAAGGTCAGGTCAGGTCAGGTCACCAAAAACAAAATATAGAAAAGGGCACGTGCGACACATGTTTTATGGGTCATTTTACTCATAAAATTCAATAGGCACACTCAATAAGTGATATGGACCACCTCTGGATGAATTTCAGGTCGAGGTCAGGTCAAGGTCAGGTCAAGTGAGGTCAAATTTTGAAGTTGGTTGGTAAGGCCTAACAAGGTGTGTATCTGATGCAGTTTTTCACGGCGAATCGAATGGTGCTATTTTTGTTTCCGTACGAGGTCTAGAACTTCCAAAAAAATCATTTTTTCAAATTTTTTGTGTGTCGTGACGTCATAAAAGTTTGAATAACTCCCACATTTCTGAACTGATTCTTCTAAAAATTGGTATGTAGGTGCACATAGACCACTTCTCTGACATATATTCCGGTTTTTTCGATACACTCAAAATTTTGGATTTTATAACTATTTTCCCAAAAAAGTCAGTTTTTTGAAGAAAAAAAATTTGGGCCAAAATCCAACATTTTCAAAAACCGAGATAGCCATTTGATAGACAAAGTAAAAAGATGTATAACCTTTTTTGTTACGTCTTGATTCCTTTAAAAATGAAGATGTTAGCGGCGTTTGAAATTTTGCCGTTTTTGAGGCGAAAATGGCGAACATGACGTCACTAAAACGTCAATTTCTCAAAAAAATTTCCGACGGATTTCGCTAAAATTTTCGGGGAACGTGTCAAATTGATGTAAGAAAAGGTACTGAAAGTTTGGCGCCTGCAAAAATTCGCGAGGGGGGGGGGGTAAAATTTACCCCCCCCCCCAGCCCGCGCGGGTTAAGTTTATCGCACAGTTATGGGCGCTGGAAATTCCCTGGTTATGCGGTAGGCATTAGCAAGAAACTTTGTTTGGGACTATTTTGGCTGATTCAAATCCACCCGTCAAAAATGAATTAACCAAACTAATAAAACGTATTTTGCCTACTTTTTTTTTGTTACTGTGGCTAGCTTTATGTTGACGATATCAGTAAAAAAGTCAAAGATACCAGTAAAAAAGCCGATCAGCAGAGATCTTCGGTAAACATTTTATTAGCTTGACAACGATAGAAGACGTAATGATTTAACCACAATTTGTTATAAATAGGGGAGAGCGGGGTCAAATGTAACACGGGGCAATTGTAACAGTGTTAATAATTCATAAACTTACCAATAGAATGCGCTAATGTTAAGACCGAAAATGCGTAATTCTATACTGCCTTTCCCAACGGAGTTTGAAGCGAAAGTGCCGGGTATGTCGATGGCTGTGCACAGTAATGTGTTTTTGAGTGCATTTTATAAATTTTTATACCGTTATATTTGATTAGCTCATTTCCGCCATTGAAAAGATATCGACTTCAGACTTTGTGTAAGCGTTGCCAGGCTTGTTGTCCATAAATTGAAAGCATTAAATGCTGTACATGCAACATCTTTATGCGCCAGTTTCGTCTAAAATATGTCAAGGCGCGACGGGGACAATTGTAACATTTTTGCAGGGGTCAAATATAACAGGCTATAGGTCAGTGGCCATTATGTCAAAGTCGTCAAATTTTCAAGGGAGATGAAACATTGCTAGAATTAAGAGAGCTGTAAGTTTTGTCGCAATCGGCAGCTTTTTACGCGATTTAGGCTGGAGACTTCCACACGCGGGTAAGTCGCGTGTAAGTGGTTTGCGGGTAAGTTGGCGTTTATCTCGCGTTTAAGTCGGCGGGTAACTTTGCCCGGAGACTTCCATCTGCGGGTAAATAGTTTGTTTGCTAAGTTAGCGAACGAACTTACACGCGAGCCACCCCATGTATTAAGTTCGCGGGTATCTTTTCGGTGGTGCTTTTTTTGGTCCTTAGGGGGTTTCAAAAGTTTATTTCTGTGCAAATTTTATGTGCAAGTGATAGACAATAGTGCAATAATCTAGTTCTGGCTTTTTCAGCCAGTTAGGCCTAGCCGTTCGGCTGCTAAGATTAGACGAATTTGAGGTCACCTTTTCATAGTACTGAGGCCAGTTTTACCAACAGAAAAATAGGCAATAGCCGCCTGGCGGAATTTTTCGCCTAAAGGCTGATTCACATACGGATCGAGAGCGGTAAAGCCCTATCCGCTTACGTGCTTATCGCGTTTACACTCCGTATGTGAAACGGTCTTTAGGCAAAAAATTCCGCCAGGTGGCTATTTTTCTGTTGGTTAAACTGGCCTCTGTGCTTGTTGAGGGGTTACAAATTACGTATTTCATCACTGCAAGTATCCAGATGTTTTCAACAAGTCATACATGAGTAATCAGAGCAATATTTGAGTTGACAGAATTGAGGATGTAGGACTCAAATTTTCAAATACGGAGGGATTAGTCTATTTCCATCGCGCCTATCTCCTTGCCACCAGCTGCTATTTCGTAATCTTCGGGATAGTCAGATGGGATTCGTATCGCATCCGAAATAATGTGATCGTCGAGCCAGCCGGCTAGTGTCGGGCCCCTGTCGTCGCCCTTCGCGTTACGTGTCAGTGGGGCGAGGACCAGCTCAGTGGAAGCAATACGAGTGTCCGGTCAACAACCATGGACAGGAAGAAGAGGAGCAGAAATTTCAGTAGTAATGACATGCATTTGTTAGCCGATGTCATGAAAACTGAAGTAAAAGTCATCGAAAATAAGCGACACGATGGAAGGAGTAATGAAGAACGAAAACGGTCTTGGAAGAACATTGTTACGGCCTGTAATGCAAGGTCAGAAGAAAAATGGGACTAGAAACAGCTGACACAGCTCTGGAGAGATATGAAAAGGACGGCCAAAAAGAACCATTAGCGGTTTAAACGGCAGCAAATGGGCACTGGTGGTGGACCGGATCCTGCGCAGTTGGAACGTCAGCCACCCCCGCGACACGCACATATTAAACTGATCACTCGGTGATAATTGTTCTTTGTGTGGCATTTAATTGGACACCGACGACGCCTCACCGGTGAAGTGACGGGGCGGGGGTGAGGACGGGGGGTGACGGAGACGAACCGACGAGGGCAGACGAGTAATATGAGATACGGCTATTGCAAGATCATGCAGTAGACTGGCGGTCGGCCATACAGAGTGAAATAACACAAGGCGATTAGCATTATTGATGCTGATTGGCACGGCTTCAAACGCTGTTCTGGTTAGGTTAATGCATCACCACATCCCATTGTTACGGCTGTACTCATTGCATGTGTAAAAACGCTGATTGGGGGCCACCGGTCCCATAAATAACGGAATTACGCACTTGTTCATTGGACCAGCTGATCGCCGCATCCCGATCAGCTGATCGGGAAGCCCTTTAACCCTCGCCCCGTTGGGGGGGGGGGCATTTTGGCCCCCCCTGTGGTTTTTCCTGAATAGCAAGAAAACGGCGGCGCGCAGCGCCGCCAAATTTTCAGTACCTTCCCGGGCATCAATTTGACACCTTCACACCAAATTTCAAGTCTTAGGTCACCTTAGGTCAGGAGTTATTGAGGTCAAACTGAGGTCATGTTCGAGCAAAAATGGGCAAAAAACATGCAATCTTGAAACGCTCACCAAATCTACAGTTATCAAGCAATTTCAAAGTTCTTTATATGGTCTAGTAGACAAAAAGCGGCGCTGCAAAACTGCTATCTCGGATTTTCAAAATTTTTGGTTTTTGACCAAAAAAAATTCAAAAAATTGATTTTTTTAGAAAAACTTTGAAAAAATCCAAAAATTTTCCGAATTTCGAAAAAACCGGAATATATGTGATAGTGCCAGCGCTCTTCTATATACATACCAAATTTCAGAATGATATCTCGTTTTTTGGCCAAGTTATAGCGAAAAAACTGTTCAAAAATGATGACGTCAAATTTTTGAACTCAATTTTTAGCAATTCTAGACCACTTACGGCAAAACAAAGACCACCATTGAACTCCCCGTGACGAGCTGCATCGATTCGATACCCATTTTATGCAAAAATATTAACTTTGA